TTTTCCATTTCCCATTTTCCCTTTTGCATGTATAAAATAATTAAAGTTAATGAATGGCAGCCGAGACACCAAAAGTATTCCAAAAATGTTTGCTTCATTTGTCACATTTAATTGATAATATTTCGAAAAAATATTTAAATGTTAAAAGGGAAATTTAAAGCAGTTGAACCCAAGATTCAAATTCAAATGTTTCCAACTAAAGTCCGAAAATTAAAACTTTAGCAATCCGAGGAGTTTTGCTTAATTTTGTGACTTTGGCTTTGGCTTCGCTCATAAAAATAAAAACCAAGTTCAAATTGCGCGAAAATGCCAGCTGCAGAAGAACTAATGTCACATACTCAAGCACACACACGCACACATACTCAAGAACATACACACACGCAGGGGGAATAACACTGAGAGAAAACAATAAAGGCTGTCTGCAGACTTGACAAATGCAAACAAACAAAGTTAAAGCTGGATTCTGTGCACTAAAAAAATAATTTATTAATTTAAAGATATCAAATAAATGGGTAAATAGATATTTATTTTATTAAATATTTTTAACAAATATTTTAGGAACACTGCGTTTAAAAAATGTTTCATAGAATAAAAAAACGATTTTAATTTATACAAATTAATAGCATTTTTCTCTCTCTCTGCACGTGTGTATCTGTGTGCAAATGTAAAGCATAAGATAGACAATTACACTTTTGCCACTGCAAGAGGGAGACGGCGCGAGGCAGCCAGAAAGAGAAGGAGCGAGGGCATTTAGATAAACGCCAAAAGGTAAATGAACTTTATCAACCGAACAAGAAACGAGTTGCACACCCATACACCTACACCTACGCAGCCACCCACGCACACACAGGCACATCCACATCTACATTCGCATGCACAGATGCAGATGCAATTGCACCTATAATTGTGTGTGAGCCCCGTCTGCGTGTGCCCTCCACTTTTGGTTATAAAATTGAGTTTGTGCGCCTGCATTTATATATGTATTTATTAAATTTAATTAAAGAACACCCACATTTCGCTAGGGCTCGCAAATTTAAAATTTAATCAAGATGAAAAAGCATCAACATTTGCGTCTAGAATATACCAAATTATGTTATTTAATTATGCCTGAATTAAAATTAAAATTCAGAAAACAAAAAAGTCCTTGAAAAGCACGAAAGTTTCCTAACATTTATCCTAATTACATTAATTAATTTATATAAATATTTTAAATTCAGAAATCTTGAACAGCTATAAAGTAAGGGTATAATAAAAATCCTATAAACGCCAATTAATTCCATATATTTATTAATATACATTTTTGCAATTCAGTTACTTGATATTTGCAGTTATTTCCTCTCACACATTTCCCCCAATTTAATGCCGTTTATTTGACATGGACACTTAACCGAAATTTAATTCCTGCCGACGATCTAAACGACCCAAATTGCAGGACAAACAACATTTATAAATACAATTTCGTTACCTCTGATGACATTTACTATTTTTATCGTGCCAGCACAAAAGCAAAAAATACCTTTTGCCACATTCAATTTAACATTTTCAGCAGCCAGCAAAAATGTCAGCAGGGAAAATCTAGAAAAACTCATGGAAAGCTGGAAAATGCTAGGAAAACATTGGGCAAGACAAACAATGTGAAATGTAGAAGGAGCTGGGAAACAGAAACAGATTTTCCGACTGCAGTAATAAATGATAAACAAGTGCAAGCTGGCCAACAAATGGGCGTGGCAGTGGAAGGCGGTGGGCGGTGGGCTTTTCCATTTCCCATTCCCCAGTTCAGTTGCTAGGCTGATATTGAAAACTGCTGCTGCCTGCAAAGCTAAGCAAATGTTGTGCATGTGCATGTATGTGTCTTTTCACACTCTTGCATTATTTATGCAGACACGGTGTGCGTGTGTGCGAGTGTGCGTTGGTGTGTGTGTGAGCCACGTACGTGACTCGAACTGCAACGACAGCTGCTCCTGTTCCAGGACACAGGAGCAGAGAACCAGGATCCTGCAGTCAGCAGCCTCCACTTTTGGACCCTGTGTGCGCATATATATTTATTCCATGTACATATTGTAAGTGCCCCATGCCTCGTGTCAAACTTCTAATTAACCTCGTAATTCATGCAGCCTGCAGGACGCAGGACCCGGGACAAAGGGCGACTGCTGGCGTTTATTGTCCTGATCCTGCTCCTGCCTCTGCCTCTGCGGATAGAAGAGAAACGTGGCCGGGCAAGTGACCCAGAAATTACCAGTTGCCATCAGATATTTGATGGATTTTAAGGCATTATTTTGGCTTTTTCACGAGGCCCAATAAAAATGATGTCTAAAATAGGTATAATTAAATATTAAATAAATAATTAAATATCCCGAACTATTACTAAAAGTACAAAAGAGTTAAGTAAAATAAAAGGAACATTTTTAAACTCAATTAAAAAAAATATTGAAATAGTTTAATAAAATAGTTTAGATTTCTAGCAATGAAATATTAAGAAAATAATTAAATATCCTAACTTCTAGCAATGAAATAATGTCAATAAATATATCATAATAATTAAATAATTGAATTTCACAGTATTTAAATTAGAGTTTTCGATTTATTTGTTATGCCTACTATTTACTTAGCCACTCAGTAATGAAAATCGCTAGCCTAATATTGATTTTAACAAAAATATTAAACATTTTATGTAATCACCACCAAAGGCAAGCCCCAAAAAGTAGGCAACATTTTTGTACACATTTTCATTCCCTGCTTTTCCTGTCAAAGCAAATTGAAATTACATTATTTAATTGGTTAGTTGGCCTGTTTTCAAAACGAAAAACAACAAAACAAGCCATGAAAACAAATAAACATAAATTGAATGCCATTGTATGATTAATTGTTAAGGGCAACAGCAAGACAGCAAGACAGCCGAACAAATTACAATTTGTACAACAATTATAGCCGAATGTTGTGCCAGTTAAGTTGGCAGATAAACGGATAAACAAATATACAAATTAAGCAGATATTATAATTAAAGCCCTCCAATTTGAGTGTTGAATAATAATAAGTGTGTGTTTCGAAAGTTACGAACTCACTTACTCCGACTTACTGTGCAATCAAATGTTCAATTGCCACTTATTTTGCGGCTGGCCACAGCACTTAATTCTCCAAGTTCTTGACTTCGCCAGACAAAAAGGAATAAAAATAAAAAACCGGGCAAGTATCGAAAAAAAATAGAGAGTAGAGAAGGCCAACGAACAAAGGGAGACACAAAGTCGTTATTGTCTTAGTTTTATTAAAATGCGTTCGTTTTTTATTATTTTTGTTTTTCTTTCCTTTTTTGTTTGGAAAAAAGCTACTTTCCGAGGCAAAAAAACTTGTCAAAGGCAACGGCAACGGGCCAAAAATGGAACTCTGGCCAACAAGCATTTCTGCCAATTTGTGTGCAATTTAAAGTGTCCGACGGGGAACCCTGTGTTATGTGGTACATACACAAAAAGTTCCCAACTATTTTGCACCGAAAACTTGGCAGACACGGACACAGATGAGCAGACCGCAATGGAACTGACCGCGGGGCTACACTGGCCAAAAAAGGAGTTGTCGGGAAAATTCGAGTAAGATTGTAGGTTAATTAAAATATATAAAAAAAATTGAGTGGAATAATACATATATTATTTGTATTATAATGGCTTGCTAAATAAAATAAGTTTAAGTTTAAATAAGTTTTTCCATACTTTTTGCTTTTTAATATATACTAAATATTCTAAAAGAAGGGGGTTTTCAATCCTTTGGGGCTTTCAGTATATACAGTTCACAGAAGGTATTTCACCATCTACTTCAACTTTCTCTAAAAATATTTAATAATTCTAATTTTCCAAATAAAGTTTCTATTACATTTTTCACTTTAAATTTAATATTTATATAAGAAATTTTAAGGGGTTTATCAACACACTCTTTTTTCTGTAGGTCTAATTATGTAGTTCCCTGGACAATCAAGGTGATTTTTTTCAGTGTCTGGCTGCTTTGGCCATAAAGCGTTCAGCGTCCTTTAGAGGATATATAGGCGAAAGGGAGGGGGCTTTTAGGGGTTAACACTGCTGCATTAACGCTGACCGAAAAATCTCTGCAGCTGAAGTTGAGCTTACATTTTTTTTGTGCAACCGAAAAAAAATATTTCGCGGACAAAGCAGCCAAAAATCTCCTGCCCCCCCACTCTGCCCCCTCTGCTACCACCGCCCATGTTGTTGCAACAATAACGGTACATTACAAGTGGCAGGCGAAAGCATCGAGTTAGTTAGTTTGCCGCCCCTTTTCCTACTTTCCCACCCCCCCAATTCCCCTTTCTACGCCCCTGGCCACAACTTCTGCGGTCTTGTTAGTCTGGGCTGGCAAGTTGGTTAAAAAGTTGTTGATGCAGTTACTGCCCACTGCCCACGCCCCGCCCCCTTTTTGCGACGACATTTGTGCTAATGGCTGCCAACGACCTGGACACCAAGAACCCCCCTCTCAGTCGACGCCCCTTGGCAAACATGTTGCATACTCTGCGACTTAAGCGAAAAATTTCCAGCGAACAGAACAGCTTTTTGGCCAAGCAAACACACACAAACACACACAGTGGGTTAAGTGGGCGAGTTTGCCACAACACATTTGTGTTCAAGAATAATTAAATTAAGCTGTCAGTCTGTCGGTGGAGAGAATTTACTAAAAATTACACAAAATTATAGTTTGTGTTTGTTGCACTTTCTTTTTTTAGTAGGTATTTTTCAAAAAAATGCACAAGAAGTTTGTTCGCTCAAAGAGCTGATTTAATGGCATTTTGCAAACAATTTGTAACTAAATAATTGGACAAGTCAACCGTTGTTTAGAGAGAACTTTCCAAATTAATTGCAGTTTATGCAATTTTCTTTTTAATTGAATTTATCATTAGAGTTGCCACCCCATAATTAGGCAGAGTGAAGCGATTTTTATCGACCTAGCTAATTAAATTATTTAAATTATGTTAATTAAAAAAATAAATAAAATATAAACACCACTTTAGCGTACTGAATTAATTTTGGATTTAATTTAAAATATACAAGTTCTCAAGTGTAAAATGGGCTTAAAATGATTGTTGACAACATATCCAAGGTATGACGAAAAATTTGGCAAAACTCGAGAGAATTTTCAGTTAGACAGTTCGGTTAATTCATCGGGATCTTCGGTTTTCTCCATTGAAAACTCCTCCTTGGACGTCTCCTCACTTTGCAGCACCTCAACGTCGGCAATCACTTCGATCTCCAGAGTGGTTTCCTCTGGATCCTCGGAACCCGAACCCGTCTCCTTCGGTAATTCCGGCAAACTGCTAGCCTCGTCCTCGTGAATGGTGAACTGCAGCTCGATGTCCTGCGTGTAGTCCTCGGTGTACTCCTTCATTTCGCGATGGGTGAATCGCATGAAGAGCGGACTGTCGGAGAGCAGATCGCACTTTTCGATAATCTCCGGATTGGAACAGGTGTGGATCACCTGGCGACGCGGCAGACCGGGCATTTCAGCCGCCGTTTCCACGCTGACCTTCAAAGCGGGCTGAGCCTGCGGGCAGAGCAGCCACAAAATGTACAGATGGGTGACCCGCGGTCCGCCGGGCATCGAGTCCCACGAGGTCTTCCACAGCATCAGCAGCAGGGGCAGGCGGCACTCCCAGTCCGAGTAGATTCGCGGCAGGTGCGAGTTGAGCGCCACCTGGCGGCCACTCTCGTAGATCAGCAGACCGACGCATTGACTTCGATCCCTCCGCATTTCCGGCAGCGTTTTGCCAGCGATCTTGAAGCTCTTTGCCTCCTTGGCTTTCATTTCCATGCTGATGATGTCCTCGTGCGAGGTGAGGCAGTGACTCAGGAGATTGCCCGGATTGTGGACCACATCGCAGCAGCAGCTTGCGCCGAGGGGACAGGCGAAGGCCAGCTTCTGGAGGCGCCAGTACTTCTGGGTTTCGGCCGCCGTGCTCCTCAGCCGCTCGTAGCGCACTTCCGGCGAACTGTTGCTCTCGCCGGAAACGGCGGAAGCGGAAGTGGCCGCCTCCGCCCCGCCGCGCATCGGTACACTTCCGCCCGCCAGCGGCAGCGAGAGCTTGCAGTCCATATAGAGGCGTCTGGCCCGATCGGGCAGGAAGTTCAGCCGGGTTATGCAGATCTCTACCTCCTCGTCGGTGGCATTCCCGTCGTTCTCGCTCTCCAGGCCAAGACGATGGTCCAGCGAGGATCCGTGGGTGTCCAGCGAGTACTCCGACTGGGCATAGCCCAGGCATCCGGCCTCTTTAGTCACTGATGAGGCCCCCGATGTGGATGGGCGCTCGGCCACGCCTTCGTCGCTCTCCATTCTTTGAGTTATTTGATGTGTAAGATATAATACTTTTCGAAAAACGTTGTGAACTACGGATTTGTTTGGGAATTTTCGTGTGTCACTCGATGTGTTCGACTCTCAAAATTAAATCATACTGGGCTGACTTGTGAGAAGGGGTTCAAATGATTTATAGACTTAAATCTCCCAGGTTGCTTTTAAATTAAATAATATATTTAAAAATAATTTTATTTCTAGTTTTTTTTTAGTCTGCAAGTGAGACAATGACATAAAAACTCTGAGGAGAACATTTTGTTGCATTTGTAACTTCCGGTTTCACAAACACACAAATATATAGTGCAAAATGAAAATGCGAAAGGAAAATGTGTCAACATACAAGACAAAGCAAAATACAAACAAAACTCAAGTTCCCTCTGCAAAGCAGTGAAATGCAACTAAGGGGAAAGAAAAACTAAAAGGGTAAAGGGAGGGCAAAGAGAGAGAGCATGAACTCCCTGCGACCACGCCCCCTTTCCATTTGCCGCCCAAATCGACAGAGGACGTGCGGTCTATGGCAGTAGAAAAACCATAAAAAGTTGGAGGTTTTTTAATATACAAAAATAAACAAGGAGCTTGGAAAATTAAAAAATATTTTTAAGACCTTTTTTTGTAAATTTTGTAAGGTTTTTCAATCACTATTTGGTCAAAACAGGGTCCACAGCTAAAAGACCGACTGTTTTGAACAGATTACGACCTAAACTAACGATCCTTATCACTATCTGAGAAATTAATTTTTTTGATCAATTTTTCCATTTTTTATCATGATTTTTTGCGAAATTTGGCAGAAATTTAAAAGTTATAGATTTTAATGCAAATCGATTGGGGATTTAATAACCAGTTCAGCAAGGTATAACAAACTATGTTTGGACCAAGTTTTGTGGAAAATGTTCATATTTAAAATGTATAAAAATGGATTTAAGCTTAAAATGTTTGAATTTTCTACTTTTTTCCTGCCAGTGAGCAATAAAAGAAACGAGTTAAGTCACGTGCATGCGCCATTTGTTTATGGCTTTCTCCCGTTTACTTTGCCTTTACTTATTAGTTTGGAGTGGAAAATAGCACCTTCCTCTCCCCCAAATTTCCCCAGGTTTTCCTTGCATTTCCTCTATCTCGTGTATCGTTTATCGTCTGTTGCTTTTCCTTTTGCGAGCTTTTGAGCTGCAATTGTCAGTTGAGAGTGCAGCCAACCGCAAATAGCAAACAAGGCAAAGCCCTTGTATCCCTTGGCTTTGCTGACATCTTTAAGACGGATTTCCATTGCTTACCCTTACCCCTTTGCTTTAATTGAGTTTTCACAATTTGACAGCCAGCGGGGGGAAATTAACCCATCATCGGTGGCAAAACTCACCTGAAACGAAAAGAGGGAAGACATATTAGTCAGAGAGTCAAAAAAGACATGGATTTTGAAGGGTTAATTGAGAAAAATTAAACTTTGACTTTGCACACGCACAGAAAACCCCTCAGGGCAGCAGGGGGTTAAGCATCAGGTTCACAGAGCTCATATGCACAGCATAAAGATTCCCCATTTCCATTTCCCTGCTGTTGCTGCTGTCTTAACAACAATCCAGACAACAATGTGTAAAACAATTGGGCTCGCAGTCAATTTGTGTGCTACGACAATCTAGTATCACCTCTGCACTGAGAGATAAACTGGCAGAGTAACACAAAATAATAAAATAATATTTTAAGCAATTTAAACTTTATATTCATATTTCTGGTATTTTTCTGGTATTATGTAAAAATAATAAGTTTAATATTTTTAATATATTAGTGAAATGAAATTGAAGAAATTTACGCTCAGCGCAGGCTGTGCGATAATATTACTGCGAGTGACAGACAATTGAAAAGACCATGCACACACACATGGCGTATACGCAATGTGCCAAAGTTTATACGAAATTAATGTTAATTACAACGCGAGTTGGGCTATCCATCTCACTCGCACCGCCGCGGCAACATCTGTGTCCTGTCAGGAAGTGGGCGGGAAAATGGATTGAGGAATGGGTGGGGAAATGGGAAAATGGCAGGGAAATGGGGAATGCAATTTGCCAGCAACGCATTTAACAAGCTGAAAGCGCTTAAGCCGAAGGATTCGGCATTCAGCATCGAATGAGTCAACAAAGGTGCATCGAATCGCACTGAAAACTGAAAGGGAATGATTAATAACCGTAATCGTAATCGATAAATGTGAAAAATTGATGGCTGATGGAGGCTCGACTGCCGAATGCCGAATGGCTATAGAAAGAGGCTGCAAATTATAAAGCCAAGTAAATAATTTAAATAATAAGATAATAAAAGAGATAGAAATAAATAAATATAAATAAATAAAATTAATTCACGATAATTTTATTAATTCTATCAGTTTAATATAAATAAACACAAGTAAATATATTGACAGTACTTAATTTAAGTAAGTAATTTTCCCTTGAGCACTGATTAATTGCAGAGTTAACCCAAAGATGGACTTCATATATTTTCGCCCATAATAATGGGTCAAATCATCGCTCATCTTTATCGAGCCATCAATCGAATTCACCTTTCGGCATGCCGATAAATCCCGCTTAAGCCATTCGGTTGCACAAAGGTATTCAATTTCTCCTCTTTTATTTTCGCCTTTTTCTATACATATATATATAGATATTGTGCCATTTTTTTTTTTTTACGATATACATTCTTTGCTTTGTTTTGTTTGGTGAATTGAACAACTTTTGCTGGCAGCTGCGGGGATTCCCATGAGACATGGAAGGAGTTTACCTTCCCCTCCTGTTTTTGCCATGATGTGGCACAAATGGCAATGCGCTTAACGTGTTCCGTGTTGCTGCTGCTGCTGTTGCTGTTGCTGCTGCAACTGCAATGCAACAAAGACAAGCAGGCATCTACAAAAAATAAATACACCTTGGCACCCACGCACAGACACAATTTATAAAAGCCACAACAAATGTCTGAGGCTGTAAACTTTCCGTAAATCTTTGCAGCAATGTCTGCCAGCGGCAGAGGCAGAAGCAGCAACTAGCAACCAGCAACTAGCAACAACAATGATGGCAGCAACAACAATGGAAGACAAGGACGATGACGATGACGATGACGTCGTCACGCGGATGTTTCGACGCGACTCTGAAGGATTTTCATGGCTGGTAGGTGAGGTTTTCCCATTTTCTCCATTTTCCCCTTTGTAGTTGCAGCCGTGCACGTCTGTGTGGCTGCTGTTGCTGCTGTTGCTGCTGCTGCGAACGGTGGCTTGTGTTGCATGTTGCCGTCAGCATGTCAGAGCCCCCAACACGCTGGAAAATGCGCTTACACACATGTAAGCACATGTTGTTAAGGGACAGGCAGCCAAAGTCGACTTTTGAATGCCCTTTCAAGGCCCGAAAAATCAATTTTTTTTATTCCTGAATTTAATGCAAATTTAAAATTAAATAAAATATTTTTAGGACAAGAAAATATCAGAAAAAAAGATTTGAATAAATGTACTCATTTTTTGTCACTTTTAAAAAATGGAAATTTTAAAAAGCATAATAGAAAAACATTTTCCAAGTTTGTAAAAAAAGAGGGAATTTAAAGAAAATATTTTAAGAAGATAAGATTAATAGGAAGTGTAGGTAATCCACAAATTATGAATGGTATTTGATTTATATTATATCAAGAAATATTACAAAACCTTTAAATTCCAATATTTCCACCAAATTTTCACCTGACTAACCAAATTTCCAAAGAGCCCCGGGGAAAACGAACATTGTCAGCGTCTTAGCGCTTTTCATGACGGCATTTTCTTGGCACTGACTGTTAGCATTCTGCCAGCTTTCCCGCTTTTCCCATCAGCTGTTGTTCGCCGGAGTCTTTGCTTTCATTAAGCTAATCCAGACATGATCATGCATATATATAAGATATATATATATATTTTTTTATTTTATATTTTTTATGCGCACACCTGAAGGGAAAATGGAAAAGCCGAGACAGTAACGTTGAACCCGGAGACGAGGAGGCTTTTCTTTGCCTGAACGCTCAAGCGTTTGCAGCATTTTCATTTTTAATATACACAAAAACATGCATGTGCTGGCTTTTCCCCGCTTTGCCTCGCTTTTCCCACTCGCTTTTCCTCGGGCATGACAAACTTTTTTATGTAAATTCTGAGGCTGCTGCTCTGCAGTTGTTTTACTTTCCGTTTGCACCTGTGCGCTGCCCGTCATAAGAAAAGCCCAGGGAAAAACTTTACTTTGCTCCGCAGAATTTTCTTCAACAAAGGTCCGAAAAACAGGAAAAACTCAACAAAAAAAATACTACAAAAAAATAGAAAACAGCAGGAGTAAAAATCCCATCTAATCGAATCAAATTTCCCCCAAAAACATACTTTTCAGGTCACTTCCAAACTTTTGCCCCCAAAACACTTGACAAACTTTCAATTGCCTGGGCTTTCGGCTTTCGGCCAGTTCAAAGTTCAGCAGAGGAGAGGTGGAGGAGGGATTCCCCAATCAAACCCTAACTCTCCTGGCCAAACAAAATTTTGTGGCCAATGCAGCTGGCATAAACGCTGGCAAATTAATTGAAACCGAATAGATAAGTTCAGGAAGCGAAAGAGGAGGGCCAATGATTGATTAAGGCCTGGGATTTTCCCAGGGAAATGCGGGGGGAAAAGTCAAGTCGCATTGAATCGAAAGCGAAGCGAATCAAGTGGAGTCAAGTCGAGTCATCATCAAATGCGATTAGACAGTCAGCCGGGAGATTAGACACTCGCACTGACCTGAGACATCGGCTATATCAAATATATAGGGGAAAATACATATATATAGAGGAGGATATGCGACGACAGACATCTGTCGATGGCTTCTCAACAGTCATTTTCATTTTCCGACGAATACTAAATTGCCCCTAATCCACTTTATCATCGACACCAGGAAATAAACGAGGGAGCCTCAGGAAAAGTGGTGGAAAAACTAGGAAACAATTTTTAAAGAGATAAGAGGAGTTCGAAGAAGGGCTTTAAACAATAAAAAGAATTTTCCGTATTTTACCTTTAAAAATAAATTAAATTAAATATCAAAAATATATTTTTTAATTACTTATATAAAGGAAAACTCCTT